GACAGAAGCATCAATAACAGAAATCTGAAGAGAAATTTGGAATAATGCATGAAGAGACTTGGATGGACATCTCAGTGTTTGGAATTCTTTTGCTTTTGTTTTGCTATGAAATGAACAGAATGGAACATAAACAATTATTCATTGATTTGTATAAATGAAATGTGTTCATAATTCTGGCATTCTAGAAGAGCAGAAAATGCAAATTTCTATAGTAATAGCTTAAATAGGTGAGAGCAAATAATTTGTCTCAGCACAAACAGTTTTGGAATCAGAACTGCCATCATACATCAAGATGTTGCATGCTCTAGCTCTTAGCACAGGGATGTATAATGCTGCAAGCCTGCTTACCATCTATGAACAGCCTGTGGGGCTATGGCAGTATGAAACCTGCGTGGGGTGGTACATAGCAGTGTTCTCAGAGAAACTGTATGCAGCATCCACTGCTTTTCCAAGTAACTCAAACTTTAATTGTCAATGTAGAATAATTGGAGAGAATTGTTTTGTGAGCTTAGTTTATCTATTGACAGTGTATGCCCTGTATATAAAAACTTATCTATAAATAGATGTCAAATATCTCCAAGGAGAGCCTCAAACAAAATTGTTGAGACAGTCTGCAACTGAGACTCATAGAATTAAGTCTTTCACCAAGGTATTAGCTAATTTGGTCACGTGAATCAGATTTCTCTCCAGTTTTTCTCTGCATTTGTTGCTTCCTTTGCAGAAAAACGAACTATAGATATAAAACTACATTTAAATAATGTCTCTTTCCTGTGGATATTTGGACTCCTGCCAAAGAGAAATGATGAGGTTATCTTTATTCTAAGAGGAATAGGAAATGGGGGAAAAAGATGGATGGCATGAGCCAAGCAATGTATGGGAAACAAGTGGCTGAGTTCTGAGATAACAGACCACATGGATATCCCCTTAAAGTAGAGGAGTTGCTTTTAGTGAGGCAGAGATGGCAACTTTACTACTTTTAGTACAGTCATTTTATCTATGCAAAGCTTACAGAATCTACAGAAACACAGGAAGCTTCATACTCAATAGCATTTCCAAAGGTAACTGCTTCAGGAATTAATATCTTCATTTTGTGCAAGATACTGTAGTGAATTAAACTTTTTTATTGTGGTTTGGTGCTCCTTAAGATGCACACGGTATTTCTTTCACTGTCTTTGGACATTGTGTTCTGTGTTACGTGCTTCAGAGAGGCATTACCAGCCATCCAGCACATTCTATTTCTTGTAGCTTCCAGGGCTGAGGTCTTCACTTCGTTCCATGGCTGTAGGAACATACAAGGCCTAATACAGAGTTGACTGTTCAGTGTCTGCAACCTAAAATCATAAGGTCTGTGAGTAGTCTGAGTTGAACCTCAATCTCCATTATGTAAATATCCTGAAACTGAAAAAACAGCAGTCTGAGGAGGCTGTGTGCTGCATAGTTTTTCAGACCATTAGGTTTATCGGGGCTCAGCCCTTCCAGTGTGTTATGTGTTTTCTTGGCTTAAAAGTTTAAGTTTCTTGGTTTATAGCAATGGAAAAGAAGCTGTGGTAAGTTTTAGTTGGCTCAAGCAGAGGTATGGCAAGGAACAGTAGAAACATCTGCAGCTGTTACAGCATATTTGAGTTGAAGTAAAACCAGAAAAGAGCAAGAAACAAGTAGTTTTCTCCTTTAATTCAAAGAAAATGTCAAGTGTTAAGGGGCAAGTGTGTTTTTTAGGATATGAAATTTATGAGAGAATACTGAAAGGAATGAAAATAGTAATTTCATATTACTTCTTGAAATTATTGTGCTTTTTTTTTTTCCATTTAAGTAAGACTTGTCAAAACTGCTAAGAAAGTAAAAATCTCTTGTTTATGGCATTCTCTTGGGAATGATGTTAATTTACTGAATATTTTGCAGACAAAATGCCTAAAGTTAGAAGTTTTTCTTTCTGTGTTAGCTGATTGATGTGGGAGCTGCCTTACTAACATTGGCAAGTCAAGTTTATAAGTCTCATGCTTCTCTGGCCTGTGCCCTTTTACCTACTTTGCTAGCAAGCACGTGACAGTAGAAGAATGCAAAGGAGGGGAAGTGTACTGCAGCTTATGATTAAGTTGTCCTTTAAGGAGGAAAATAAGTGTTCAAAGAAGGGAATTTCAGGAAGTCTTTGGTGTTCAGCTGTTGTAATTCAGAACAGTATTAAAGGCTTACATTTAAGTAAAGGAAAAGGATATGAAAAGAAACAAGTCATTTTATTGTGTCACATCTTAGGGTCAAGTAATACGACCCTAGAACTAGACTTGTCTTTGTTTTCAGAGCTTGTTTCCTTGATTCAGAATTAATTCTTACTGGGTTAATATTTCTTCATTTGGAAATAAATAATTTCCTTACTGAAGCTTGTTTAATTTTATGATCGTGCTAAGCTTTACTTCATTAAAATATCAGGTTGACTGTTTATTATCGATGCTATTTGATAATCTTTTCCTGCTTTGGACAGTAGAAATGCATGTGCCTTAAAAGGGAAGGGATCCTGAAGTTCTTTCTCTTCAGAAACAATGAGGAGTATGGTTACAAATTCCCAGGCTGAGAGGCCACAGGGGAGCTGAAGGATAATAGAAACTAGTTGATCTGGTATTTAAGACACTGGTATTCCAGAATATAAAATTCCATGAGTGAACTGGCCCACCTTGTGAAGTGAACTGGCCCTTCTTGAGACAAAACCAGGTGTCTGATTCTCCATATGGGAATATTGTTCTTTCTGTTGTCTTTTTTTTTTTGTCTTTTTTTTTTTTGTTTTTTTCTATCCCAGTCTTAATAGTACAGCTAAACATGATGAATTCCTAACTTTTTTCCCTTTTGCAAGCCTTCAGTTCACGTATACCGTGTATTGCTGCTGCCTGTCAGTTTTGTTGCGCTCTTGCACTTTTGGTCTCAATAATAAGCTGGTAATGTACAATTTAAATGAATGAACAGCTGATTTTGACTTCCTGATACTTGTCTACAACAAGGCTGCTATGAATAAGACAGTTGTTAGTGACAGAGTCATTAAGTACTACAAATTGCAGCTGTTACTAGGGTTTACAGGGCTTGTCTTAAAGGGCTTGAAATTGGTGTTCAAAGCTGCCTCTGTCTCTTTGTTGTCTTATCAGACACTGTATGTTCATAGATCAAATTGAATACTATCTGTATGGCAGTGAGACTTAGCTTCTAGAATGGATGGATTTAGGAAATCTGTGAATTACCATCAGCCAGTGTAACGGTAGTTGTATTGCAAACAATCACTACTTATTGATCAGCAACCTTACAAGATGCTGCGCAACAGCACTTAATCTTGTTCATCTCTGCCTGGTGGTCCTTGCCCTATATTGTGTATTTATTTCCTAAGCCTACAATTACTGCAGCATTTACAGTGCATTCCCTAGTTGTCTACTCATACACCTTTGCAACCCTTCTTTATGCGCCAAGTGACTTGTACATAGTAGAATATTTACAGACTAGAGGAGCAACACTACAGTCATAATAAACTGCTTTTGATGTTCTCAGCTAAACTGCACTGATTAGCCCTCATATGCTGCTCAACAGGGGATGAGCATCTACCAGAATTTAAGTTTAATTACAAAGTCTAAGCTTCAGGTTAGCCAAAAAAAAAGTAAATTTCAGTCTTTAGGAATTAAAGGCATGAAGTAGTTGTACTTTCTTTTGATTTTGCTTAAACAGAAATCCCAGAACCACCTTAAAGCCTTAGTATTGATATTTTGTGCCAGTAAAAATGTGAAATTAGAATTTTGAATCCTGATGAAATTATAGATACCTCTACCTTTTTGCCATACTTGTAAGAGGATCTTGTTTCTGGGATTATGCACGGATGTTTTGGCAAACATCTGTATTTGGTAAATATTAATGAATTGTATACAAAAGAATCACAATGGCCTCCCCAGGAAAATGGAGTTTAGACCATTTCAATGTTATAGGAGAGCCTATCAGCAAAAATCTGTGTCTTGATTATAAATACTCAAACAACATTAAAATAATCAAAAACATCAAACAATTAATCTGGATTAATAGTAGAGGTAATTTCCAGGATATTTGTATAGAAATGTTGGTTACATAAAGAAAGGAGCATAAAGATCAGCTGATAATAAGACTGTACAGTTCAGTTTGAATTGGCTGTATCCTGAGACAGAGTTGAGATATAAACATGTAAAAAGAATCACAGTTACGTTTCTATTTTCAGTGTCTTTTATTTGAGCATGTTATGCCTACCCATTATGATGGTCTTATTTTCTATATTGTCACTGTTGTGGATATTTCTTAGGATAGTTAAACTGAGTGGCAGTTTCATAAATTTTCTCCTAATCTCAGATTTGTTTCTGTGAAAGTAACTTTTCTGAGAGTTGTGATTTGATTTCAACTTTGCATAGTTTTGATGTTGCACTTATTGCCAGTCAGAAATCAGAGCCACGGGTTATGGTGTCTTATTGCTGTGACTAATCAGCTTGAAATTAAGATATGAAAAAAAATTCAGATGAAAATATGGCCAGAATCAGCTTTGTTTTGTTAGCTGAGGTGAATACTTAAAATACCTTTTCTTTCAAGATAATGAAAAAACTCTCCACTTTCTGAATCTCCTCTATCATTACTGAATGAGATGCTATGTACTTGTGATACACTTTTTAAAATATTATAGCTTTTGCTGCTATGAATTTTTATATAATGCACATATGCATGATATTCAGCTTGCTGCCATTCTGCCTGAAAGCTTAAATTACATGAGACTGTTTTGGTTCCATTTTCAGCTCTTGTGGTTGGAAGAGGTGCCTTAATATAACATACTGGACACTCAAACTAAAATACAAGCATAGCCTGTAAAGAAAAGGCAAGTACTGTTCATAAATTTGGCATACTTTGAAATATTTCCCAAAATCACTATGTAGGAGATATCTTGCTAGAAATGGACTAGCTTCTAGTTCCTTTGAACAAAAAGAAAATAATTTTTTAACTTTCTTTTTTGACAGAACTCCCTCTGATAATGGCAGAAGCTCATCAAGCAGTAGCTTTTCAATTCACTGTAACTCCAGATGGGATTGACCTGCGGATGAGCCATGAGGCACTCAAACAAATTTACCTATCTGGTGTCCATTCATGGAAGAAAAAGTTCATCAGATTCAAGGTATTTTAAATTAATCAAATACACCACACTTGAGGATTATTTAATATCTTATAGATTTATTGAAGTTTTGTTTGGGCAAAACATTTTTTTTGCCTTTGTGGCAAATTAATTTCCTTATTGTAAAAGACGTGGGTTTTAGATAAGACAAAGGATACTATGGAAGGTAGGCACTAGGTGATGCTGTAAAGACTGAAAAGGTACGTCATTTTTTTTTTTTTTTATTCTGTGGAAGCAAGTTGAAACATGTAGAACTTAACAACAGCTTTAATTACTTCACTCTCTTCAGACAACATCATGTAATTACATAATCTTTTAGCAAAACTCAGAAATATAACTCGTGGTTTTTTAGTCTCAAATCACTTAGAGATACAAGATTATACTCCTTGTTTTATGTATTCTTTGCCAAAAATTAAATTTTCAAATTAAGAAGAATATTTGTAAAAAAATTACCTAAACATGTATCTTTTACAAGTTATGCTAAGTAGTAAGGTTTCTGATGAAGTATTTTATATAGGTTGTTGTGAATGTATTGTTTTGTTCATGGGATCATTAATGGTAAGTATCTCTTTTTATTGGTAACAAACTAGATAAGCTACAGGCAATCTTCAACATGTCTTTCAAAACCATATTTTTAAGAGCAGTCTTAATGAAATGTATGAAGCTATGAAGAGGACTGTTTATATTAGACCCTTTATTTTGATTTTCAGTGTCTTGTTCAGTAGAATATTTTTGCTATGTATTCATTTAGAGAGACCTAACTCAGTGTGAGAACTTTTGAAGTGTCATTTGTTTGCTAATCTCAGTGTTTTTAATAAGACTCGCAGCAGGATCAGTGTTGTCTACAAAAAAACTTAAAAGTTCCTCTAATTCTTGGTGTCATTGTGACAATTTCCTTAGCAGTTAAACTTGACTAAATCCATTCCCTATTCCTGAGTTAAGCATACATAAGAAAATACTGGATAATATTCTTGTTTAAAGCTAAGTTACTTAACTGTGTTTATTTTTGTTCCTTGCTATGGTAATATGAAGTCAACCGCTTAGGTATAAAAAAATTATGTGAAGGCTTTTCTTTCCAGAATGGAATTATCACTGGCGTTTATCCTGCTAGCCCATCTAGCTGGCTTATTGTAGTTGTGGGTGTGATGTCAACAATGTATGCCAAAATTGATCCTTCTTTAGGAATAATAGCTAAAATCAACCGAACACTTGATACAACGTAAGTACACTGAAAAGTTACTGTTCCTCTAAAGGAAATCAGTTTTATTTGTAGAAACTCTTAAAGCTCATTCTGTTTAAATTTATCAGTTTTTGAACAGTGTGTTGGTGGCAGAGTAAGCGTCTCAAAAATCAGATGTATGAGGGTATGAATAGGTAGGTTGTGATACAAGTATTACTACATTGTTTTCTGAGGTTTTGGGAAGCACGTTTGGCACCTTCTGTTGACATTTATCTTGGTACTTGAGAAGGTGTTTGGAAAGATGTTCATCAAAAAAGGGCTAAACAGGCATGAAGCTTGTGTAATGTCTGCCTGCAGTACCATTAAACTTAGGTTTGTGATATTAGGCTGTCTTTAAAACGTAAGCTGACATTAACTGGCTCATGCTGGCTTTTGTTTTAAATAGTGGCTATATGTCAGACCAAACACAGAACGTCGTAAGTGGAATACTTTTTGGCACAGGGCTTTGGGTTGCCCTTATTGTCACAATGCGCTACTCTCTAAAAATGCTGCTTTCCTATCATGGTTGGATGTTTGCTGAACATGGCAAAATTTCTGCAGGCACCAAGTTTTGGATGGTAAGGATATATATATCGACTTCCTGTTTCATTTTAACTTCTGTTGGATCTTTTTTTCTCTCTTAGGGCTTTGAATATATTGTAGGTTTTTTCTTGCTTGTGTTTTCTGTGTCATGAGACAGGAGGCTATTGGGTAGATATTTTTACTAATTACTGTCATCCTTCTGATGCTATAATTAAACTATTTAGGATGGCCTCGAGAAGAAAGATTAAAAACTTGAAGAATAATGTCTAAATTTGCCAAAGCCTTATGACTGTGTGACTCAAATACCCCTTCACTATGTGCAAATAACAGCTTAAAGAATTTGTGCTGCAGCACCGAAGAAACTTGTCCTCTGCAGAAAGTGCTGCCCTAATTCTTTGTTGAAATACTAGGCTTTCTAGTCATCCATTCTAAACTTAAGCTTAATGCTTGAAGAAAACATTATTGAATGTTCTTTCAATTGATTTAGTCGTATGCTTCCAAAAAGAGTTGGAGAAAAACCATAAGAGGTAGGTAGCTTGTTACACAGTTTTCATATAAGGATAAGAGTGACCTTACTAAAATTGATTATTGTGGTGCTTTGGAAAAGGATCCTTAAAGGATAGTTATAGAGGAAATATAGGACCTCCAAGAGAGTGGATTTTTTTTACTTGGACTTAGTTATTTCAACTCACTTTTGCTAGTATTGTAGAAATAACTTAAGTGCCTTACTCTGATAAAGCTAGTCTATGCAGCCTCAAAGTAGCTGATGTGTGTTAGACTAACATAGTGAAATATGTAAAAGATAAGGTACCAGAAGAGAATTAGAATTTAATGTTCACGTGTTACAAATGAAATTTCTAATTAATCGTTTCTCCTGGAAGCAGTATAAGGAGCCTCATGACTCAAATTTGTACAGTACAGGCTCTGAATGGTAAGGCTTTCTGTCAATTGCTTGAAGCTGTAGCTGTGTGGGTTTTCAGCATGTCCTACCAGATAGATATTTTAAAGCTGTTAATACTGCCTTATCAACCTTAAACAGTATGAACTGTGATGCTACTTACCATGCTTTGTTGTGTGTTATATTTGTACATTTTTGTACATTTTTGTCTATTATGTATGTTGCATATATATTTCCTGCTGTTATATTTTAGCGTATATTATGTGTTTTAAAATACAGAATGCTATAAAGGTGTATGCCGAACAATGTCTCATCTATATTTAATATGAACCTCTGTTTTAGTACCTTATTCTTTCTTTAGCTAGTCCAAACAAAAGACTGATATCCCTAGAGAAACAGTACCAAGTAGTGTAGCTTTTTCAATTTTTATTGTCCTTTAGTATTGTGTAATTTCTCTGGAATTTTCCTGTTGTTTTGTTTTGGGTTTTTTCTTAGCATGAAAATCAGCATGAAAAATGCTATCACGAGTATACTGTCTTCTGTTCAAGTAGTCCTGCAGATCAAAAACCTGAGCTCTGATTTCAGTCACAATATAAAATTATTTTAAGGCTGATTGGAAGTCTGGTGCCATTTTTAATTTACATATTTCATCTTCTAAAGTCAAATGTCCTGTACTAGAATGAAAGGAAAAATCCAAGTATTAGTTTCAGTTTAAAAAAAAAAAGTTAAAAAATAATCTGAACAAATGGAGTGCATACTAGAATGAGATTAGCTGCTGTGTCTGTGTATGAAATCAGAGATGTGCCTAAGTATGCATGCCTGTGAGACCCCTTTAATGGTTTTAAACTGTTATGAGTTCTCTACTACAAGTTTACTTACAAGATAAATACTGTGGAATGTGTTTGCTGGTTTTGTCAACTGAGCAGGTACTCTGAAGATATCAGCCTTTCTTGGCTTCTGAGTTCTGGAATCATTTCCATAGTTGTCTCAAAGTATGGAATCTGACTTTCTTATGAAAAGCTGAGGTTTTTTCTTCACCTGGTTTCAAATTTATCTTGTCATGAAGCACGACTAGATTTCATTGGGTTGATCACAGTGTACATGTACATCTGACATCTCCATTTGCAGGGAGGTCTTTGTTGCTGGTAATACTCTGAAATCCTTAATAGATTAGTGCTGCCCAACTTTCTCTAGCTGTGCTAACCAAGGAAATTGAGAGGGGAAAGAAAAACTACATTTTAGTAAGTAGTTTTGTTATTTTGGGGGAGGAATAGAAGGGAGAAATTCTAGGAATTTAGTAGTGAAATTACATACGCTGTTTTCTTCTGTCTTTTTAGTCTATTGGCCTGTATACAATAAAAGGTATAGTAAATTAGACCAAGATTGGACTTTGACAATAAAGGTTCCACTGGATTGTTGGTGTAATACTTTACCTTACTGTCATGCTGAAATAGGATGATAATGTCAAAATTGTTTCATGTGTAGCCTAGAATTTCCATGATCTAGACTTTCAGCCTAGTGCATGTCACAGCTGAGAAGTAGTCATAAACAGAAATTCTGCTTCTGTCTTCAGTCTCCTGTGGGTAACAGGAGATGCTGTATTACCTGAAGCTAAGGTGGGAACTGTAATCTTTGGCTTTTTTAAATTGTTTTGGTTTTTTTGGTAACACAAGACCTGAGAATAACACTGGCATGCTTGCACAATTTTGTGTGTTAAAATCATAGAGGAGGCTACCTGAGATAGATTCATGCTCGAAGAAAGTCCATATGACATCAGTACTATTACTGATGTTGAGCTACAATGAGAAAATATTAAAGCATTATTCCGAAGTATTATGATTATTTTTAGAGGTGGGTCCTTAGCTGACTGACGGGCATGGTAATGATTCCTGGTTTGAAGGACAATATAAATATATTTTTGTATTATTTGCTATATAGTAAAAGATCAACCAGTAGACTTTTCTTTTTTAATATTTACGAAGGGAAATGTATGAAGAAGTGCTAAGTAACTGTCCTCTTGTTGAGAACAAGGTGTGCCATTCATAAACAATATTGCCTGATGATCAGAAGATTGTGTGGGAAGGCAGGAATTGGTATGACCATCTTTCTTTTCCTCTGGCATCTTGTTTAACCTTTAGGAAATTAGTTTAGGTCAGTGTCTTTTTTTCTTGTGAAACAGTGATAAATATGATATCTAAACTTACTACAGTGTAATTTACCAATGAAAAGAACTGGGACTTATATTACACTTTGTTACTCTGTCATTTTACTTTTGTTGAACCTAATCATTTGAGGTACGTATTTTGGTTTTGTTTTTTTCAGGCACTTGTAAAACTGTTCTCTGGACGCAAACCCATGTTATACAGTTTCCAGACATCTCTACCACGATTGCCAGTTCCATCTGTTAAAGACACAGTCAATAGGGTGTGTAATTCATTTTATTCAAGAACATTGAATTCCTATTTGGATGCCCTTATGTTTTGGTTTGGTTTTTTTGTCATGTCTTACAAAAGCATGGCATGGTGGTATTAGTAAGTAATGGATTAAAACATCTACATAGAAATTTAAATAAAGGCTACAACAAACTGCTGAAACTGGTGACATTTTAAAGCTGGCATAATTCGTATTGGATTACGTGGTGTTTGTTGATAGAAGACTATGCAATGAAGTGTGATTTCCGGGGCTTTTTAAGCATATTGGTTTTGTTATCATCCACAGCTTGAATGTATAAATGTGTGTTACCACAAAAATCTTATAGCAAAGTGTATAAGTAGGACAGTATATGACATAAACTGAAGGTTTGATTTTTAGAGATGAAAAAAATATCCCTGCCTAATGCTGAAGAAGCAGTATGTGTTCCCCTTTTGAGTGGAGAATATCTCTTTAGAAAAGTAACCTATTCCACTAGTGATTTGCCAACACATATCTGGAAAAAGATCCCATTTTTGTAGTTCATAGATGTTTAGGAGAGCATATGCTCTTATTTTAACAAGATAGTATTTGCAACCTTATAAATTGAGTCAGGATAATCTTTGCTTACTTTTCAAATGCTGTGCAGGAATGGCAAGAAGCTACGTAATCGTTAGTATACTGATGAGGATTCTTTTCCTGTATTCTAGTATCTGGAATCAGTTCGGCCGCTTATGGATGATGAAGAGTTCAGAAGAATGGAGGGTCTTGCCAAAGATTTTGCATTTAATTTGGGACCAAGGCTTCAGTGGTATTTGAAGCTAAAATCCTGGTGGGCCACTAATTATGTAAGTAGAACAATAGGAGGCTCAGTGGTTCAAATGACATAACTTGTTTCCTGTTGCCTTATTTGTCTCAACTTTCATTATTTCTTGAATCTAAAATTTAAGAAATTGAAACTGCTTAATATTTTTGCAAAGTGCATCAGAGACTACCTAATTTCTGTGCACAGAAATAATTTGTATGATTTGGTAGACAAGCAGTGTGGTGAATAGAACTTGAAAGAATGAATTGTCACTTTGTGTTTATTATTCTGGTGCAAGTGATTTAGCTTCTGCTGTTAGGATTGCTTTTGAGGTCTTTTTATTTGCTTGATAAAGTCGAAAACTCAACAATGGGCCTGACTACCCAAGTAGCTTAGAAGAGTGATTCAGGAGAACTATTTTATCTAAAGCAGCTAAAGCATATGAAAGAGAGATTAAGTATTTTAACAAGTTTTGTTGTTGTTGTGGGGTTTTAATATTTTTAATTATTATTCTTTTTTACCAAAAAGAAGAAAAACTTCCAGCTTCATGGAGAGAGCAGTAATATATTATCCAATATCTAGCTGTACTCAGTAGCCTAAACTAAGCTACAGTGCCCTGGCAAGGGCTGCAGAACTTCAGGAGAACTGATGTATTTTAAATATTATTTGAAGATTAAGACTTCTTCAGCAGCTTATCAGAGAGATACATCTGAATTTAACTTTCTCCCCCTGTGCCCACCCTCTTTTTTTTTTTTTTTTTTCTGTTTTCCGGGAAGTTTAGCACAAATTAGGGGCTTTGTTTATTGTTTTTAAGTAACAGGGCAAAGTAGTAATTGCCTTTCTGTTTCCTTATGGAATGGTGTGTGAGTCATTAACACAACAGACACAAACTGGAAATTACGAGATTTTAACTGTTTCTTTTCCTTCCTGCTACAGGTTAGTGATTGGTGGGAAGAATATATCTACCTTAGAGGACGTGGACCTATTATGGTTAATAGTAACTATTTTGCAATGGTAGGTAAATACTATAAACAGCTTATGTGTCTGAGAAACACCGTAAAAATTCTCCCAGGTATCTTATTTTGTGATATGTTTGAATTTAGAAATAATTTTCACTGAGTACCTGACCTTCTTTTTACTTCCAGTATAAACAGCAGTCAGTGTCTTCAAGTATGGTGCTTTCTTAATAATAAAGGTAGCACATCTGCCTCTTAGGCAATCTTGTTCAATAGTGGCATATAGTTTTGTGCTTACTGCATCAAGCAGTCTTTCAAAAACTCCATGTAAAAAAACTTTGTGGTAATGCAATTCAGCAGGGTGTGTGCTCATATTGCTACTGTTGTATGGAAAGTAAAATTGTGAAACACCCTAAAACTGAATATAAAAAGAGGAAAAATAGTAGTCTTGGATTCAAGTTTTAAGTAGCATTGTCTTTTCTGCTGGGATTAATAGATATCATCTGTGTTTTAGGACTGATACTGTTTAAGGAGATTGTGAATGTTGAACAAATTTTAAGTTTCAAGTAATCAACTCACTGTACTAGTGCACTTCATACATTTGAAAGCCTTTTATATTGACCAGAATAAACATAAAGAATATGGATGAAAAGTACTGCCAGTATTTTTATTTTTTTTAATAGTCTGGTAATAATTAATGTCTTATGTACTTTACAGGACTTCCTTTATTTATCTCCCACAACCCTGCAGGCAGCTAGAGCTGGTAATGTTATCCATGCCATCCTGCTCTATCGGAAAAAACTGGATAGACAAGAAATCAAGCCGGTATGTACATCAGTTTTAATGGATTTTGATCGTTTTCCAGCACAACCTGGAAGAGGTTGGTCAGTGTTCAGAATGGGAGAGGAAAGTCTCATCGTCAGAACTATATGTATGATATGTAGCTAAATTCGTGGTCCCTAACAATTTGGTTATTACTTAAATTGCACATGGGCAGAAACTACCAACTATTAAAAATATAGGATTCTGTCATGCCAGCTACTTGCAGTATTTGAAATGAATGTCTAGATTTACCCAAAAGACAAATAAAGGCTTGTACTTGCATATGTATGTGCTAAGCATGCAATGGTACTTTGGACCCACTGAAGTCTGAAAAGTCTGTGGCATCATGTAGCGAGCACAGGGGGTGGTTGCGACAGGGGACTAGACCTTAAGGCCAAGAGTGGGCCAGAGGCAGCCTTTGTATAAATGATGATAAAAATCCTATGTTGTACTAAGGTAGCAAAGATAGGCAAGGTGAATCCCATTCTGAATTTCTGTTCTGTCCAATAGCTGCATGTTGTAGTGAACAAATATAGTGGA